TGCCCCTTGTCAGCTCTACTATACACTTGGGAATTCTGATCATTCACATAAACTTATAGGACCATTGTCTGCCAACCCTATATATGTTCTTGGATACCCTCCCCATTTCATAGACATACCTAATCGTTTAGCCTGTCCATATTCCTAGGTTATTTTATTCTCTGTGATCTCTATAGTGTTTTAAATGGCTGGTTTTTCAGAAGTAAATCACCAGGCCTTTCTTCCAAGGTGCCTCTTGTTGTCCTTGAACATAACCTTTGGGTTGGCAGCAGAGCAGGTTAAACATTTGCACCACACTGAGCTCCAGAAACATACAAATTGGGGAGCCCTTGAAAAGTTCTTACTATCTTCCCATTCCCACCATAGAGTGTCCCTGTTGCTGAGCTCCCAATGGCACTGGCATCACACACTTGCAGTGCATGCACAGGAACTTTCATCCAGGTCCTTCCATTACAGTGTCAATTCCCACCCAGACGAGATAGCAGAGTTTCTGGAAGCCAAGGTGCTCTCTGAGAAATACCATAAAATGTTGGCCCTTTAATTTCAACAGCTGAACAAGGCATAGAATTTCCATTAGAAAATGTGTGAGGTTATGCTTGAGGTGGCAGGTCTCTCCTTGCAAAACAGAATGACTCATCCCAGTTTTTGAGAAACAATTTCAGCAGGAAAAAAATAACAGAACCTCAGTTACTAAATATAATAGTGAAAACAAATCCAGTAGGCTGAGAAAAATGGTTGAAAAGTTTGCGATAACACTGAAAGAAACAGAAAATGCTATACCTTGGGTACTATTCCTGCAATTTGGAGAAAAAGATTAGCTCCTTTCTATTTTAAGATAGGCTGGCTCCCTGCGGTGCTCTCTCCTTAAGCTATGAAAAGATGAGGGAATCAGAGGGCCCACCTTCTCGTCCTGACCACTAGTGTGACTCTGAGCAACTCTGCCTCTGGAGTCTGTTTCTGCACCTGAGAAAGGTAGATGAGGTTACATCCAAAAGCCTATGATTTTGCTTATGTACTAGGAAAAAATTGGCTGTTATTACTCTGCAAAAGGCAGAGAAGTTTCCTTCCTGTGCCCAGAGAATTCTCACTCATACCTTTGTAATGTTAACAACTGGTACAAAATAAGTCATCTCCTTTTTACAAATTATTTGTTCTTCACATATGTCATTAGTCATTCCTTTCTGTATTTTTGTATGATTA